ATAATAACATAACAAGTGTGTATATATATATAGATAGATAGATAGATACATGACAAAAGACAGATACATGTGACAACACTCGGATACATGACAGAATAATAGCGCCTAGATCGGACGGGAGAAGTGACGCGAAGTTTCTTGGTTGAGTATGTAACTAACACCATCGTCAAATAAAGTAGTTTATCCATAAAAGGCAAAAAAAGGCTTTCAAGATTCCAATTTGTGATTATTATTTTTTTAAAATGTAAAACTTGACCCATAAGAATACATTTTGCACATAAAATCCATCATTTTAAATTTAGAAAAAAATAATCTAACTTGTTGTAAAGAAATCGTATGTACGATGTAGGAGGATATATTAAAGAATAACTAGTTATTCCGATCAGCGAATACAAGAATATAATTAGTGTAATCCCGCAAGTAGGTTCCGAAAAGGATAATGTGTACATAGTCTTGCCCCTACCTTGAGAAAGTTGATTTATTTAATTAGTTAATCTTTATAATAAAAAAAAATGTATGTATTTTGAAAGTTTGATTACATGTGATCACAAATATTTTTTTATTAAAAAATAGAGATATGTAATAATTTATTAATGTAGTGTCTTAGAATATTATATTATCTTATTTGTGAATTATAATTTGCTAATTTGATAAGATTGTTTAAGAGTTGATTTTTAAAAAATATTTTCATAAGATGTGAATTCTTTCATGGTTAGAAATCATATCCAAACGAGCATAATATTTTTATTTCACATTCGTCATCAATCCTAACCTTCTTCCACATTTTCTTAAAAAAATTGTTAAAAGTTTGTTAATCTCTTGTTGTGAATCAATGTTGTAAAGACATAATTAGGATTCTGCGGTGTTCTCCCCTAGGCGAGACATTTACAAATGGTTTGATGTAACACCAACAATAAACTTGATGTATTATTACAAGTGAAGTTCAAAGAGATGACATTTATTGAAATAAGTAAACTGTTTTTGCTTCACTTAAAAATACGCTCCTAGGTACATATAAAAGAAAGGGAAAATTAGTAAACTAGTCAAAAACAATAACATAATTAGTAAAAATATCCATACTTTATAAATATTAGTAAAAATGTCAAAAATGTCATTATTTTAAAAAACTTTATGTATCATAATTTTCTTCCTTCTTTATCTCCCATTGACAATTACACGTTTTCAATTAATTATCTCTCCTATTTTTTTTTAAAAAAACTTCTCCCTCTCATATTTATCTTTTCAGATTCTTAATTCTCTCTCTCATATTTATCTTTTCAGATTCTTATTTTTTTTAAAAAAAATCCCTCTCTCATCTTTATCTTTTCAGATAATCCTCCAACATTCAAGTTGCCCATATATCTCTTCCGTAAATTTTGATTGTTTTTTTCAGAAATTAAATCAACAACAATCCCTTTGATTAAGGTATTAATCTTTATCCTATTTTTAGATTTCTTTTCTGATTTTATTTTTGTTTAAATCTTTAAAGATTGCTGTTTGTAGTTGAAATTTCGGTTAGGGTTCACTCTCCAATGGCTGAATTCAAGAGGCTTACTAGAGGTATCCAACTTAATCAACAAATTGCTAGCGATTTTTCATCCTTTTATCTATTTATTACTCAAG